TATGGGAAAATGAAGTCTACCACACACACACGGAGAAGGAAAACCACACTGGAGGCAAAGTGATGTCATGTCTGTGGCCTTCAAAACAGAACCCTACCGCTTGGAATTACAACACATTTTCCTTCCATGAAGCCTGCTCTGTGCGAAAGGCGGATCATCCTTTTGTGGTGGAAACTCCTGCAGAGAAAGAACTAGATGCATCAATCTCCCTCAGGTCAGCTCAGGACAAAACCTGGAGCCCGAGCTAGCAGAGTCATTCTGACCAGGGGCCAGCTATGCTTGTGAGGGTTTGAGATTTGCCTGGTTTATTAGGTAGAACTTATTCCCACTCTGTAAGACGTCTTGAACGCATTTAGGCCAATTCTCCCAGCACTTAGGAGGCAAAGACAGTCAGATATCCTTGTTTGTGGGAAGCAAAGTTACAAACTACAAAAGCAAATTCTTCATGTTTACTTCAGCTTACCCCATATAATACCACCAAGAAGAATTTACAGCTCTTTCAAAATCCAATGTCTATAAAGACAGAACGCCTCGAAGGAAAATGGTACCATACTTAAAATAGTGATATCCTTTATTAGTACAGTAAAGTCCTATTTTTATGGAATAGGATGGGTCTGAGGTCATTCCATAAAATTGATTTCCCAGAAAATGGAAATAGGCAATTTACCCCAAGAATTTTATTGAAAAATTATGCTATTCTATTTGAATAATGATAGGAATGTTCTACACATTTCCTTTATTAATGAATTAAAATACACAAAACATCATAAAATTATATTAGAGGTTCAAAAGTATCACTTAAATCTTCTTTACCAGTCACTTTCATTTTGTAAAATCAGCAGTTCCATTAAAATCATATTATGTAAAAATGGGTTTTTACTGTAATAATAGTTATTACCTATTTAGCTCCCAAGGATGTTGTGAAAATTAAATAATAAGCCATTGGAAAGCAAATACAAAGTGTCGCTAATACCAGAGGCCAAGAGGGGCAGCCAGATGGAAAAATGAAGGAAATGAGCACCTGCTACCTTAAAACTCACAGCTTTCACCTTTAATTCCATGATGGCCAACACTCCATGCAGGGGTCACGTGTGCTGACGTTAGCCCATTTAATCTTCCCAAAGGGATGATACACTAATTATAGCCCTCATATAATAGATGACGGTCAGAGAGCCTTCAAATTTGTCCAGTGTCATGCAGTCGGTAAATGTCAGAATCCAAATGTGAACCTAGGTTTGTCCTAGTTGACAGCCCATCCAATAGCTCCTAATGCACCACCACCACCCACAAATATATCTCCGTGTCTCCTAAGGGCCCCTCAGAGCCGTTCCCCATTTTTCAAGATCTCCTTCAGACGTCTCTTCCTCCATGAGGCGATCTCTCTTCTACTCGCCTGAGATGCTTTGATTCTAAATTGTCAACAGCTACTTGGTGTGTCATGATGTATTATGAGCTTCATTAACCCGGCTAAGTCACTAGCTCTTTGAGATCGCGGCTGTATCTGACTTGCCTTTGGAGCCCCAGACCAGGAGCACCTGGTACAGGGCCTGGAACACAGTGAGTGTCCAGTTATTGTTGGTTAAACTGAATTGGAAAGGAATGTTAACTTGAATTCCAATGATGTTCGCCACCAGATGCAAAGCAGATACTTTTACCAATGGCTTACTGCATCAGATACCTCTTTGGAAATTTACCAGTTTTTCCATGTGTGTGCACCTAATGAGACTGTAGTAAGACTGACTTCCTCAAGTAGAGTATTTGACATATGCTAGGTATGCAATAAATAGATTTTTTTTTAAATTCCAAGTGGAGGGAGCAATGTGAACAGTAAGCAGAGAAGCATAAATTCAGTATAATATTTAGTCTGATTGGAATGAGTCAGAGCAAGTAGGAATGGTGAGTTTTAAATATATATATGTATTAAATATATATATTATTAAACATATTAATATATATAAAAGAGTTAGGGCTCTAGAATCACACTGTCTGACTTCCTGCCCCAGTCTTTTTACTTACTAGCTGGGTGAAACTTGGACAAGTTGCTTAACCCCTCTCTGTCCCAGATTCCTCAGCTATAAAAACAAGGACACAAACAGGACCCACTCACAGAGCAGCTGTGAGGAGTAACTGAGAAAATCCACGCAGAACACTCAGCCCAGTGCTCGCACGCACCTGGCACGCCAGTCATAGTTGCTGGTACCGTCATTGTCATTGGCAAAATCTTAACTGTTAAGATTCTGGTCCAAGGAGAAGGCATTATTTTCCACAGACCGTAAATCTTACAGTTGTGCTGGGCCGATCCTGCCGAACCCAAAGACTTAGTTCTGGCATCACATTGTGGATGGCATGTGTGACGTTCTTAGTGTCTGTTCTGTGCCAGACTTGGGTGAACAGTGACTTGATTCAAAGGAGGTGGGGAAGGAAAGAAACCAGGACAGCCAGAGAAAAAGTCAAGAAGGCAAAGCTACAAGTAGAAAGAGGAGGTAAATTCAATCCCAAGGTCCATCAGGGGTCAGAATAACAGGGTTTGCCAAAAATCAGAAGGGAAAACTCAGCCAGAACAGCGCCTATGTAAGACCCCAAACTGAACAGAACCATGGATTAAAGAGCTGGCCGCTGTAACTTCCTGGAGTTAGAACAGGGCTTCACAGAGAAGAGAAGCGAGGCCACAAGAAACAAGGACTTTGCTTATCGTGTATTACAAATCTGTTTTCACTCACCTCTTTTTCTGATTGAAAACTAAATAAAGAACAGTAACAATTTAAAAATCTTAACTTCTCTGATTTTCCCAATCACACTGAAGGACAAATTGGGAGATCCTTCAGACATCCAACTCCCGGGCCGCCGACACTTTTTTCCAAAGCACTGATGTAAGGGCAGCTTCATGGAGAATTTGGGCTCTTCTGCGGCGGACCATGAATGAGGGAATAAAGGATGGTGGAGAATGCCGGGGCACACGGTGGATGCAGTCAAACAGCAGGGCCAAGCAAGAGAGCTAGAACTGCTCCTTCCTCACTCAGTGTTAAGGTCCCAAAGGATGTTAAACACTTGGCAACCTTCAAAAGCTTCTTTTGCTTCCTGAACAGAGTGGGGGGAAACAGCTTGCTTAGTGGGAAAAAGCCATAGCCCAGGGCTAATCCACTGGCTAGATTCATCAAAGAGATGGCTGAGACAGAACAGATTTTTCCTTTCTGTATAGAAATGACTCATGAGCTTGTTTATTCAAAAAGTTACAACCTCCATCGAGAGAGGTGGAGGACGTGGGAGCGGGGTGATCATCACAGTTTAAGTTTGTTTTGGGGCAGCCCACTCCCTCCATCCTCACA